GGGCTCTGGGTTTGGGGGTGGAGCTTTGTGCTATTTGTTTACAATTTTGAGCACTCACTAGGGGATGAAGGGACCTGCGAGGATTCAGAACCTATTGAGAGGTCATAATGTTTGCTATCTAGTGAATGGGACAGCTGGGACTTGCTCTCTGTTTCTGTGCAATTTGACCTTATAGTGGGTATGCTTGCACAGTCCCTGAGTTCAAGACAGGGAATAAGAGGGAAAAGAGGAGAGAAGGAGAGAAAAAAGGGAAAGGAGGATAAAGTAGAAAGAAAAATAGAAGAAGAAAAAAGAAAGAAAACACACACAAAAAAGAGAAAGAACCAAGAAAGAGAAATAGAAGAGGAAAGAAAAGAGAAAACCACCAACAAACAAAGCAACCAAACAAGATAATCAAACAAGCAAACTAATACTTCCACTAGCTTCTTATGGGTCAGTTCCACATTCTGTGTCTATCACCCAGCAGCTGAGTGGAGGGTAGATCATCTGGGGTTCTGCATCTGCCTTTACCCACCAGGGCTTGTACACTGGGGGCAGGCGATGCTCTGAGGTCACAAAGAGCAGCCCCAGTGCAATGCAGAGATCAGCGCCAGATCTCAAGATGCAGTTCTGCTGTTCTGAAGAGGCTGTTCTGAAGAGGCTGACCTGAAGCGCTTCTCTGCCCAGGCATTAGAGAGTTTGCTCAGTTTCTCTGCCAGAAGCTATTGCTCCCTTCCCAGCAGTTATCAGTCTCTGGATCTCAGGACCTGGTGGCAAGGTTCTGAAGCCCAGTTCAGGCTCAAGGTAGGCTCTCCCCACTGTTTCCTTGTGAGTCTGCCTCAGGTTCCCTCCCTGCATTCTTTCCACAGCACTCACTGTCACTGTTCAGCTCGATCCAACAGATTTTCCAGGGAAAATCTAAATTTTCTGCTGCTCCTAAATTGTCTGCTGCTAGATATTCCAATCTAATTGCATGCATTTGTGTTTGGCCCAGTGTGGGGATGTGGTATCTGTCTCTCCAGTATTGTGCACTTGGGGTGTCTTATCTGGGCAAACAATGGTCGAGTTCAGAGGGGTGCAGAGATCACCCCTTGGTCTCAGGATGCAGGCTGCTCAGAATTGGGCAAGATAAAGCAGGTCTTTGACCAGTCCTGGGACAACCAATGGCAGCGGTCTATGTTTTTATTCTTTGGCGGGGCTTACTTCCAGATTTACTCCTTGCATTTTTGATGTCCCTGCTGCCTTTACCTGGCCTGTTGCTGCAGGTGGTGGTGTGGGTCAGTTGACAACTGATCTCTTTTGCCTTTTCCCAAAAGATACCCTGGGGATGGTGGATTTTTCTGCATGTAGCAAGTGCTGAATTAAGAGCAGTGGCAAATTGTAACTGTTTCTGCAGGGGGTCCCGTACTTGATCCTGTATCTCTCCTTAGTTGGACATTCTCTCACACACTTGCACACAGACACTGATTAGTTTTTTGTGCACTCGCCCATGCAGAGACCCTTACACTCTGACTGGATCTGATGCCAACTTGCTCTTCCTCCCAGGAGGGCGTTCCTTAGGTTTTCTTCTAAGATTCTCATAGTTTGAGGTTTCACAATTAAGTCCTTGCTCAATTTTGAGTTAATTTTTATATATCATGATAGGAAGAAATATTGTTCCATTCTGCATGCAGTTAGTCAGTTTTTCCAATATCATTTGCTAAATATGGTTTCCTTTCCTGAATGTTTTTTTTGTTTGCTTTTGTTTTTTGTTTTTTTGAGTTGGAGTCTCACTCTGTCGCCCAGACTGGAGTGTAGTGGCCACTCCTGGCCACCGTAGCCTTGACCTGCTGGGCTCCGGTGGTCCTTCCGCCTCAACCTTCCGAGTAGCTGGAACTACAGGTGCGAGGTACCACGCCCGGTTAATTTTTTGATTTACTGTGGAGATGAGGTCTCACCAAGTTGCCCAGGCGGGTCTCAAACCCGTGGGCTCAGGCAATCCACTCACCTCAGCCTCCCAAGGCTCAGGATTACAGGCTGAGACACCGAGCCTGGCTCCGAATGTTTGTTTTTGTCAGCTTTGTTAAAGATGAGCTGGTTGAAGGTATGCAGTTCTATCTCTGAATTCTCTGTCCTGTTCCATTGGCCTATGTGTCTCTTTTTTCTTGTATCAGTACCATGCTGTTTTGGTTACTGTAGCCTTATAATAATGTTTGAAGTCTGGGATTATGATGCCTCCAGCTTTGTTCTTTTTGTTGAGGATTGCTTTAGCTATTTGGGCTCTTTTTTCCTCCTTGAATATGCATTTCTGTATTGTCTGTGAATAAAGGTGTTGGTAATTTGATAGGGAATGGAGTGAATCTATAGATTGTCTTAGGTACAATGGACATCTTGATATTGATTCTTTGTATCATCTTTGATTTCTTTGAGCTGTGTTCTCATTGTAAACATCTTTTACCTCTTTGTATAGATGGATGCCAAGGTTTTGTGTGTGTGTGTGTGTGTGACTATTGTGAATGGAATTGTGTTTTTTATTTGGTTCTCAGTCTGCTTATTGTTGGTATATAGAAATGCAACTGATTTTTGTGCATAGTCTTTGTATCCTGAGAATTTACTGAAGTCATTTTTCAGTGTGAGGAGGTTTCTGACAGACTCTGTAGGGTTTTCTAGTAATAGAAGTATATCATCTGTGAAGTGGTATAATTCAACTTCCTCTTTTCCTATTTGCATACCCCTAATTTTTTCTTCTGCTTGATTTCTCTGGACTTTCAATACTATGTTAAATACTATGTTAAATAGAAGTGGTGAGAGTGAACATCCTTGCCTTGTTCTAGTTCTTACGGGGAATGTTTCCAGCTTCTGCCCATTCAAGTATGATGTTGGTTGCAGGTTTGTCATAGATGGTTCCTAATATTTTGAGGAATGTTTCTTTGATGCCTAGGCATTTGTGTGTGTGTGTGTGTTTTTTTAATCAACAAGGGATGTTGGATTTTATTGAATTTTTTTTCTGTGTCATTGATATAATCATGTGGTTCTTGGTTTTACACCTGCTTAAGTACTGTATTACATTTATTGATTTTCATATGCTAAACCAGTCTTGCATCCCAGAAATAAAACCCACCTGGTCATAATGGATGATCCTTGTGATATGCTGTTGGATGCAATTTGCTAGGATGTTGTTGAAAATTTTTGCCTCCATGTTCATCAGGGAAATTGGTGCTAAGTTTTCTTTCCTTTTTGGGTTTTTGCCATTTTGGGGTATCAGGATGATATTGTCTTCATAGAAAGAACTAGGGAGAATTCCTTCCTTCTTGATTGTTTGGAATACTTTCAGTAGGATTGGTATCAGCTCTTTCTTGTAAGTTTTGTAGAATTTAGCTGAGAAACCACCTGGAACCATCTGGTTCAGGGCTTTTTTTTTTGGACAGAGAGGTTTCTTATTGCTTAGTTGATTTCTTGGATCATTATTGGTCTGTTTAGGGTTTCACATTCTTCCTGTTTCAATCTTGGGAGATTATGTGTTGCCAGAAATTTCTCCAATTCCTCTAGATTTTCTAGGTTACTCAGAGCTGTTTGTAATAATCTCTGATAACATTTTGGCTGTAACATTGCCTTTTCCATTTCTAACTGTGTTTCTTTGAATTCTCATTCTCATTCTCTCTCTCTTTGTTAATTTGATCAGGTGGTCTGTCAATCTTATTTATCCTTTCAAAGAATCAGCTTATCGTCTTGTTGATCTTTTGCATAATTTTTTTCATTAAGCTGTTAATTTATTTTGATGATTTCTATTGTTCTACTGATTGTGGAACTGGATTACTCTTGTCTTTCCAGATCCCTTAAGTGTGATAGTAGTCTGTTTACTTGAGCTATCTCTATTTTTTTGATGTGAGCATGCAATGATATAAACTTCCTTCTCATCACTGTTTTCATGGTATCCCAGAAGTTTTGGCATGTTGCATCTTTGCTTTCATTTGTTTTTAAAAACCTTTCTATTTCTGTCTTGATTTCTGTGTTAACTAAAAAGTTATTCAGAAGCATGTTGTTTAATGTTCATGTATTTGTGTGTTTTAGGGGAATCTTGATGATGATATTTATTTTTATTTCACTGTGGTCCAAGAAGATGCTTGGTATGATTTCAGCTTTTGAAATTTGTTCATGCTTGATTTATGTCTGAATATGTGGTCAATCATGGAGTATGTTCCATACTGAGAAGAATTTATATTCTGTGGTAATTGGATGAAGTGCTCTGTAGGTGTCTATTAGGTCTAACTGGTCAAGTGTCAAGTTAAGGTTATAGATGTCTTTGTTAGTTTTTTGCCCCAGTGATCTTTTTAAGGAAGTAGTGGGGTATTAAATTCTCTGTTTATAATTGTATGACTGTCTTAGTTTAATTAACAACTGTTTTATAAATCTGGGTATGCCTATGTTCAGCATATATATTCAAGATTGATAATTTTTACTGGTGGATTTAGAATTTTATCATTATGCATTGCCTTCACTGTCCTTTTAAACTTTTATTGGTTTAGAATATATTTTGCCTGTTATAAGAATAGGTACTATTGCTTTTTTTTTGTTACTTTCCATGTGCTCAGAAGATCCTTCTTCAGTTCTTTACCTTGACTCTATGGATATAATTTGCAGTGAGATGGGTTTCGTGAAGGCAGCAGAAGGATAGATTATGCTTCTTTATCCAATTTGCCACTCTGTGCGTTTTGAATGGCACATTCAGTCCATTCATGTTTAAGTTAATTACTGATATTTGGGGGTTTGTTCCTGTCATATTTTTATTAACAGATGTTTTGCATTCTAAGATTTGTGGTTGATTTTTTTTTTTTTTTTGTATCAAACAAAAGAGACAGACTTTTATTTTAAGTTTCGCATTTCCTTAAAAGTGAGGACTCTGTCACACATTTTTCTCTACTTTGCAAAATGTACAATGATTAGAAAAGTGCATGTCATAGTAATTTTTCTTAAATGTACCCCCAAACCTCAAAACACACACAGCTTGGAAGAGCTTAAAGAGTATAACCTGAAGATTTTGGAACTGCATATATTAGCCTTTAATCAATTGTACAAAATATTTATTTTAATAAAAAAGGTGTATGTTTTTCAAAGACATAGGCATCTAATTATTATTCCTACCCCACAAGACTCACATGAAAATAAAACACTTCAAATAGAAAAGGAGAAAAAGGTCAAATGAAAAGGATGGTTCACAGCTTTTGAATTACTTCTGGACTCTCCTTCTGGTTCTTGAACGGGTTTGAGTGGTCTCTGTCTGAGCATTTGAGCATTCCATATCTTCAACACTAGATTCTGCGCTTTCTTCCATTTCTTTCTTTCGCTTAGTCATTGTTTTTGCTTTCAAAGCTCCATTCTCCACAACACTGAGGTCCAGTTTGCCATCATCCTTACTTCCTATGGCTTTTAGTCCTTGCAAAAGAATATCTCGCAAATTCTGATAAAGAGGTTTTTCAGTATAGTCTAGTAGTTTCACTGTTTCCATGTATTTCGCAATTTCACCTGGTTTGTTTTTCTCGGGAAAACATTTGTCCATCAAACCTGCAATATTTTCTCTGTATCTAATTTTCGAATCTCTGACATAATTAGGATCTTTCAAATTATCCTCCCAAGGAAGATGGCCCGTAAGCCACTGGATCATGCAATAACCAAGGATTTCCAGATCACCACGTCTTGATGGGGCCACGCCATTGTGCGCGTCAATGCTGGTGAATTCAATAGTGCCATCGTGACACCTTTTGGGGTCTTCTTTGTACTCTTTATGAACGCCTTCTGGGCAGTACCGATAAGCAAGTCCATAATCGACCAAGTACACCTGGTCGGGATTCTCGTGGCTCAGAAGAAGATTTGAGGCCTTGATGTCTCCATGCACATACTCGTGCTCGTGAATATACTCCAGGATATCCAGTGTGGTTGATTTTTATAGTCTATAAACTACTATGCATTGTGATGGTCGGCCTTCACTTCT